AAAAAATAAGTGTAGTGCAGGTCTATGATGATTTTTAGTGCTATCATCTAGTTCTGATTCTGGTTCTGTCTTGGTTAAGTCCTCAGTAGTCCTGATTTTGAACTGTTGTAGTCCTGTTTTTAATTCTGGATCAGTTCTGGGTCTGGTTGAATTGGGGTTTAGTCCTCGTGTCTTGATGCAGCCCTGACCTTGTTCTGCCTTGCTGCTTAATTAAAAAACTAGTTTAAGGTGTCCTGCACATGTGATATATATTTTTCCCTATATGAAGTCATTCTTTTTTGAACAGAGCCTATTAATCTTTCAGTCATTTCTACACCCCCCCCCCCCCCCCCCCCCCCCAAAAAAAAAAAAAAAAAAATCCCACATGCATACTACTCTTTGGGCTAAGCCCCGGGTGTTTCAAATGTCTGGCTCCGCCTCTGGGTATGGGTATCGCTTTACAAGCCTTATTATAATTATTAAATGAAACGTCATTTTTATTTATCAATAAATTCTTCGTACCATAGCAAGTTTCCGTTTTTGCCAAGATCAAAAATAAAACATACAACCCCATCATACCAGTTTGATTTAAATAAAGACTTCTTATTGACGACTATAACCCTATTATTCCACATCACAGAATTGTGAAGTGAAAAATTGTGGGTGAAAATTAGTTTCCCAAAATCCAAAGCCTGCTTATAGAAACTAGACAACTTAAGAGGAATCTTAGAAAATTGCATTTGAGCAAAAAATCGAACCCGCCGACATTATTAAGGAGTTTGTTTGGAATATGGTACCACATAGATTGAGGATAGGAAATGCAATCGTTTAACCATGTGAGCCTGAATGCAGCAATAATGGATTCAAAGTCTAAAGCTTTTAAGCCCCCATTTTCATAGTCTTTAACCAATTGTGATTTGCATATATAATTATTTTTCCAGATAAAGCTGAATATAATAGAATTGGGCAGTTTAATCGTTTCTGGAGAGGTAAAAATTGAATAACAGGGGGTATATGAGTCTTGAAAGTTCTTCTGCTTTAGACAGTAAGATATGACCTAATATGGATAAATCATGTGTTAGGCAATGATTAAATATTTTTTTAACTGCATTTAATCCAGCAGTTATGTTATTAATCTCTCGATCATTAGTATTTTTACTGATTATTAAACCAAGGTATTTTACCTCCTCTTTTACTGGAATATTGTTAATAATACTTTGATTACAGCTGTGTACAGCTAAGATTTCACATTTTTTAAAACTTAGTGTTAAGCCGGATGCTTTTGAGAATGAAAGGATTTTATTAATTGCAATAGAGACCAAATTTATATTCTTTAGAAATAAGGTAGTGTCATCAGCAAATTGACTAATTTCAAATTCTTTATCAAGAATGTTTATGCCTTCCAGATCTGAAGAGAGTTTGACATAAATGGCAAGCATTTCTGTTGCAACAATAAACAATAACGGGCTAATAGGGCATCCCCGTCGAATGCCACGATTAATTTTAAAACTATTAGAAAATCCGTGATTGAGTGCAATACTACTTTTTATATCTCTGTAAAACATTTTCACTACACTAACAAATCTGGGGCCAAAACCCACAGCCTCCAGAGCTTTAAATAAAAAATATGCTTCAAAGAATCAAAAGCTTTAAAGAAATCAAGAAATAAAATAAGGCTATCATCGATTAAATAATTGTAATCCAACATATCTAATACTAAACGGGTATGATGATGAATGTGATGTCCTTTTATAAAGGCTGACTGTGTCTCATCTATTATTTGAGTTATTCCTGTTTTTAATCTGTTGGCATAGACATGAGCTAACAATTTATAATCACAGCAAAGAAGTGTGATTGGTCTCCAATTATCTAAAAGGATAGAGCCCTTGTTTGGTTTAGGAAGTAAAGAAATTATTTCTCGTTTCATAGTTGGAGATAGCATCTGATTATTTATCCATTCATTAAATACCTGGGATGGAAAGGTGCTGCGCCTAACTGGAGGGCAGACTAACTGTGAATATGAAGAGCAGCGCCGCCCTAGGCCACAGTAACAAACAACAGCAACAGAACCTGAAAAGTCAGCGCCACCTGCTGGTCAGGCTCAGACCACTGTGGATCTTAAAGATGAGGAGGAAAAGAAAGGAGAAGAAGAACAGCCTGGTGCAGCAGGAGCAACAGGCAACAACTGCTCACACTGCCAAACCAATACACCGGACAATTATATCCACGCTATTTGGTTCTGTCCACCAGTTCAGAAGTTTTGGCGCGAGATATGTGAAGACTTATCGAAGTGTCTGAAATGTAACATTCCAACTTCCCCCTTAGTGTGTTTGTTGGGCTTAGATAATGTCACTACAGATAAGAATATAGCCCATTTGGTTTTCACTGCCCTATGCATAGCCAAGAAAACAGTCCTCATGAACTGGAAAAATAAAAATAATCTTAATTCTAACCAATATAGAAATTATCTAATAGATTACATTAGTCTCGATACAGCCTCTGCCACCACATCAGATCAATTGCTCTGGGCTCCTTTGATCAGCTCCATCACCTAGTGGGGGTGGGGGGTCATAGTTTGGTCCCGCCTTCACTGTTGTGATTGGTGTGGGGGTAGGGACAGGCTTGGGGATTCCCCAGGAGCGTCTTCTTTGGAAGGCTCAGCCCGGGGTTGCGGTCATCAGAATCAGAATCAGAATCAGAAAGGGTTTTATTGCCAAATGTTGAGCAGGTTTACAACATTAGGAAATTGCTGCGGTGCTTCAGTGCAAACATACTGTCATAAATAGCACTTAAATAGACATGGAAAAAAATAAAAGTAGGGATAAGAATTAAAAGTGCTACGTGGAAAGATATGTGCATGAGATATACATGAGATATATACATGAGAATAAGAATTAAGAGTGCTACGTTGAAAGATATATACATGAGTGCAGGTGGTGATCAGTGCCAAACATAGAATGATGCAGTGAACACAGCGTAGGGTCATGTGTTAGTGGCGGGTACAGTCATATGGTTATTGTTCATGTGTCCAACAGCAGAGGGGAAGAAACTGTTCTTATGGCGAGAGGTTCTGGTGCGAGTGGACCGGAGCCTCCTGCCTGAGGGGAGCAGGTCAAACAGACTGTGTCCAGGGTGAGAAGGGTCAGCTGAGATCCGAGCTGCACGCCGCAATGTCCTGGAGGTGTACAGGTCCTGCAGAGATGGGAGTCTGCAGCCAATCACCTTCTCAGCAGAGCGCACAACACGCTGCAGTCTCTGTTTGTCCCTGATAGTGGCTCCAGCGTACCACACGGTGATGGAGGAGGTGAGGATGGACTAGATGATTGCAGTGTAGAACTGCATCATCGTCCGTGTTGGCAGGTTGAATTTCTTCAGCTGCCTCAGGAAGTACATCCTCTGCTGGGCTTTCTTGATGACGGAGGTGATGGTGGGCTCCCACTTCAGGTCCTGGGTGATGGTGGTACCCAGGAAGCGGAATGAGTCCACAGAGGTGATGGGGGTGTCAGTCAGGATGATGGGGGGGAGTGGGGCTGTGTGCTTCCTGAAGTCCACAATAATCTCCACTGTCTTCTGGGCATTCAGCACCAGGTTGTTGTGGCTGCACCAGGACACCAGACGTTCAACCTCCCTCCTGTCATGGCCTGTTAAGGGCTCTGTTGGTTCTTAGATGATGGTTTCCTCGTGGCTGAGCGTAACTGGAGTCATGTGCGGACGCATTTTACATCCACAAACGTGGTTTGTGATACATGTGGCAAGAAAGTGAGGTGTTGTGGCAACACCACCAAATCATATCACAGAATATGACGAGCGTATGTTGAGGCGAACTGAAGAGGAGGACAGGGACATGTGCTGCTAGGGCGAGACAGACGTCTCTCACAGAGTCCTTTAGTGCGGCAGGCAGGCAAGGTGTTCAAATAGCGCACAACTTCAGTTTTTTTATTTCTATATGATGAACCCTGCATTATTAAGTGATAAGAATAAGTAATCTGATGACCTGTAATCATTATGACGCTATAATTTGAGATACAGTAAATAAAATACGTTTTTGTACAAAGTATCGGTAACAGATCAGTATCGTCGATACCACCCTGAATTTTACTTGGTATCGGATTGGAAAGGAAATCAGTGGTATCACACATTACTAGTTGAAACAAATAGGAACCCCAGCCGACCTGTTTGTACCATGACTAAAAATAACTATCTCCCCATTGTTGTGACCAAAACTTCACATCATGTTCCTCAAAATGAGTTTCCTGGAGAAAAAAACAATTTGCCTGTTGCCCCTTGCAGAACTGAAAAACAGCTTTGCGCTTAATTGAGTCTTTAAGTCCCCTTGTGTTAAAGGAAAATAAAGAAATGTAAGTTTTCAATTGGAACACAGAACACATGAACAGCTTTAAAGATGAAGTTTAGGAGGTTGAGTAGTAAAGTCTTGAGGTAAAAGTCCCATCATCTGAAATGTTCCACTATATTCCTTTCATAGTCAGATGTCAGCCCGTACCTGGGGTCTCTTCCCTGATGCGTTTGCCTTCTATGAAACCAAAAGGGCCCCTGAAGCCCGCAGCCTTGCCTTCCTTCCGAGCCTGGTCGATTTCTGGCCACAATGCTTGTCTGGATCTCCAGTCCTCCGGGGGTCAGGTCTTCAGCAAAGCGGATGCCTTCTTCTTTGCACACGGGAGAAGCCTTCGTTCACCTCCAGATGTCATCTCTCACAGCATGTCTCACAAACAGAATAATGATTTGTCGATGCCGCTCTTCCCACTCTGTGGACAACATCTTCTTTAGGTCCGGAGCAATCCTTCCTAGAAGTTCCACCACTTCTTCTCTGATATTTTCATTTATTTTCTCCTTTTTCCCTTTGATACGGAGACACCATCTTCTTTTCTATATTTCCTGGCTCAACACACGCTCTTTAATGTCGTCATTATCTTTTTTGAGTGATTCAATCTCTTTTTCCAGGTGTTGTATTTTCTTTTTGCATTCTTGTAGCTCCTCTGAATCAAACTGCACCGATTTAGCGATGGAAGCCAGCATGGCGCTATGTTGTTGAATTTGTTTGCTAACTTCGTCCATGCGGTCATCAACACGTTTTCCAAGATTCTCAGTAGCTTTTAGTATACTGTCTTTGGATGTGTTGGGGTCGTTATCAACAGCCGTACCTTTTGCTTTTTTCTCCATATGTGGTTTTTCAGGAGTATTATCAGGGGTTGTTAACAGTCTGTCCCTCTTGTTGTGAAAGGGAGGTCTTTCACTGCCGGAGGTTTCGTGTTGTTGTTTTTCTTCATGTTCGGGCTGAAACATCGTCAATATAACTCAAAGGAGTGAAATATATAACTTTAAGATTATCATCATCATCATCACAGTTTATTTATATAGCACTTTAAAAACACACAAGGCTGACCAAAGTGCTGAACAATAGAAATATAAGAGATTATAACATTAGTGAGGAGTTCAGACGGATGTGACTGCTCAGCCCGCCATCTTGCCCTGCCCCCTTTGTGTGAGGACCTTATCAGGAGGAAGTCGGCTAAAGCTGAAGCTGCGGCCTGGCCCGTCAGGTCTGAGTTCAGCTTTTTTGTTTTTTGCTTCTTTTCTCCATCTTTATTTCAGGTAATAACAAATATACAGGGGCTTGCAAAAGTATTCGGCCCCCTTGAACTTTTCCACATTTTGTCACATTACAGCCACAAACATGAATCAATGTTATTGGAATTCCACGTGAAAGACCAACACAAAGTGGTGCACACGTGAGAAGTGGAATGAAAATCAGACATGATTCCAAACATTTTTTACAAATAAATAACTGCAAAGTGGGGTGTGCGTAATTAGTCAGCCCCCTGAGTCAATGCTTTGTAGAACCACCTTTTGCTGCAATTACAGCTGCCAGTCTTTTAGGGTCTGTCTCTACCAGCTTTGCACATCTACAGACTGAAATCCTTGCCCATTCTTCTTTGCAAAACAGCTCCAGCTCAGTCAGATTAGATGGATTTGTGGACAGTTTTGGCATCATATGAATGATAACAATAATATATTTCTCTGTTTGTTGTTGTAGGGGTACCAGTCGAAGAACTGGTTTTTGAACAACAGCAGCGTCTGGATTTTGAAGAAATTCAAATGCAACAAAATGATGATGAGGAGGACAGAGTTCAGGACAAGGAAGAAGAGGCTGATAATGAAGAGGAGGAAGAGGCTGATGTTCCAGCAGCGGGCATAGAAATAAATCCACCTCAGGAAGTAGAAGGACCTGGTAACAGTCGCCCGTCCGTCGGATAACAGTCGCCCGTCTGTCGGGTAACCCGACGCACAGATATCCATCAAGAACTGTATTTGTCTTATGGTGAAGCTGAGGAGAAGAACGACAGGAGAGATGTGGGAGGTGGTGACGGTACAAAGCCCAAATGAGACGTCCATCCTGACATCACCGACTCAGGACTTTCATGAAAGCCTCCACTCTTTGCTGCTGTGGCTCGCTCACGCAGAGAGCGGACGCTACGCAGTGGACATCGGCCACCCAGACACGACTCTCACAGCGCTGCAACAGCACAGCAACACCCTCACTGCTCTGCAAAAGGAGCTGCAGGACAGGCAGGCTCATCAGGCCTCCCTTCAGACTCTGTGGTCTCAGCTCCAGCCTGAAGACGGCACAGAGGAGAGCAACGAGGCCCGGGAGAAACTCCACGTGACGGGGAGCAAGCTGAAGCTGCTCCTGAAGCAGGTGGACGGCGACCTCAGCAACCTGCGGCAACGTCTGGACTGTGAATCTGCTACAGCCGCCCAGTGTCAAAGTGTTTCTCAGGAGGCTGCAAATTCAAAGAAAGGCTCCTCCACTCAAAGAGAGAAGCGGGAATCGTCTCCCCCTCGATCCTTCTTCTACCGGGCCCTGCGTGCCGCCTTCCCTCTTCAGCTCCTGCTGCTGCTCCTCCTGCTCCTGCCCTGCCTGATTCCAATGTCGGAAAGTGACTCCACCCTTACCAATAACTTCGCCCGGTCCTTCTACCCCATGTTGCATTACCCCAACGGCCCACTTGATTGTAATATCCCTCAGGGCTCTATACTGGCCATTTGTGGCCACTTTGCTTTTCGCTTTTTTTCCCCGCATTTTTGTTCTGTTAAAAAAAAAAAAAAAAAAAAAAAAAAGGAAGTAGAAGGACCCTGGGTCAATAACAGAGCTGAAATCCCAGCAGGAGAAATTGAAATGAACCCGGCCCAGGCCCGGCTGAGAGTGACATTGAAAGTGTCCTTGAGAGTGGTCCTGACAGTGACACCGATCACAGTGACACTGACGACGACACTGATAACAACAACAGTGATAACAATGACACTGATGAGAATGACAATGATGATGGTGGAGACAATGTTCAGGATGGCCCTGTGCCACTGGCCTCCAGCCCAGTACTGGGAGGTTCAAGGAGGAGACCAAGGGAGGAGGAGGATGATGAAAAAGAAGATGGGGCACCTGGACATCTAGCAAACTAATCAGAGGATTCAAAGATGTACGTTTCAGTTGCAGCTAAATCTGTGAGTCGTCTGCATAACAATGAAATGAGATGCCATGTTTTTTAAAAAGTGAACGCATAGAGAGCATATAAATTGAAAAGAGAACTGGGCCAAGAATGGACCCCTAGGGGACCCCACAAGTGAGTGAGGTTTTTGAGGATGATGTATCCCCAATCTAACAGAAAAGCTTTGGTTGGAGAGATAAGATTTAAACCACTCCAATGCAGTCCCTTTGACTCCGACAGTGTTCAAGCTGAGAGATAAGAATCCTATGATCTACGGTATCAAAGGCAGCACTGAGGTCTGATAGTATTAAAATGGCAGAATCTCCCAAGTCAGTAAAAGTGAAAAGGTCATTAAAACCTTTTAAAAAAGCAGTTTCGGGGCTGTGGTGGGCTTTAAAACCAGACTGAAATGCTTCACTAATGCCATTTTTATCTAGAAAGGTCTGGACCACAGCATGTTTAAAGTCAGCAAGGACACACCCAGACTGAAGACTGCTATTGACAATAGAAAGCAAACTCGTACCCACAGTTTCAAACACATCTTTCTGTAAATTGGATGGAACAATATCCAAAGTACAAGTACAGTGAAGATTTTGAAGCAGTTCCCCTGATGGTCCACTGGCTTCAAATCGGTCTGCTGCGCGGCCTCTTGACTTAAGAAAATCTCCTGTGTTCTGGGCCAAGTTATTAATCAACAGCAACAACACGATGTTGAGGAGGACAATCTTCAGAATGATGAGGAAGAGGCTGCTGTTCCAGCAGCAGGCACAGAAATAAATCCTCCTCAAGTTGAAGGACCCTGGGTCAATAACAGAGCAGAGATCCCAGCAGGAGAAATGGAAATAAACGCGGCCCAGCAAGCAGAAGATTCCATAGCTGAAGAAATGAGGTGGTTCTGGGATAACGAGGAGGCTGAGAGTGACAGTGTCCCTGAGAGTGGTCCTGACAGTGACGCCGATCACAGTGACACTGACGACAACGACAGTGATGATGATGGAGCCAAGGGAGGAGGAGGATGATGAAGAGGAAGATGGGAAACCCAGAAAACAATCCAAACACTGAAATTTGCTCCTGGACACTCAGTGTTGACATTTCCAATTTTTTCTTTGGAAGGTTCACCAGCATACCCACACCGGCGAAAGAGAATACCTCTGTGACCAGTGCGGTAAAAAGTTTAGATCTTCATCTAATTTGAAGGTCCTCAAGCGGATCCACACTGGAGAAAGACCATACCTCTGTGACCAGTGTGGGAAGTCCTTTAGACAGTCAGCGCATTTAAAGAAGCATTACCGTACCCACACACCAGAGAATCCTGTCAATGCTGACCATGAAGCTGTACCGGCATTTCCACAATGACCACACTGAAAATGTTAAAAGCCTATTTGTAAAGCATAAAATATTAAAAAGACAAAAAACACTTGATTAAAATACATGATTAAACTCTTAAATTCATATACAAGTGCTGTTTTCTGTTGTAACTTTTCGGTTACCGTTGTTTTATTCAACTTCCTTTTTGCTTTGTCTGCTTTTTCTATTTGCTTGTCTTTTTTTTCTTGAGTTGCAGTGCATTTGACCTATCAAGGCCACCGTACACCCCACCTTAATAACATTGTAATAAAAACTCGAGGACTTAAAACCTTTATATCACAGACCTTGTGTTCTCGAACCAACTACGATAGACATGTTTCCAGCAGTGAAACCAATTACACCACAAAAAATTGATCGTTGATCTGTGTGTTCTGTCTAGTATTACACAGATGTTTATATAAACAGTGATTCCTACAGTAATATACAGTAAATGTTTACAGTCCAAGGATACCTATAATTACATTACTGTCCACAGAGTCACACAGAAGACATAGATTTTATTGTGAGCTGATTATAAATCAGGACGCTCTAGGCCGCAGGTCGATGATCGATTTTGTAATTGTATCACCAGACCTGCGACTATATGTTCTGAACACTTGGGTAAAGAGAGGGGCTGAGCTGTCAACTGATCACTTGGATCAGGTGGCGGGGGAGGACGCTGGACAGACCCGGTGCACCTAAACGCGTAGTGAGGGTGTGCTGGGAACATCTAGCAGAGGCCCCAGTACGTGAGATCTTTAACGCACACCTCCGGCAGGGCTTCAACAGCATTCCGAGGGAGACTGGGGACATTGAGTCCGAACGGACCATGTTCAGCACCATTGCTGAAGCTACTGCATTGAGCTGTGGCCGCAAGGTGGTTGGTGCCTGACGTGGTTCTAATCTCTGAACCAAATGGTGGACACCAGAGGTGAAGGGAGTAGTGATGGGATTTCCGGCTCTTTTTAGAAAACGGGCTCTTTCGGTTCGGCTCACTAAAGAGAACCGGCTCTTTCGGCTCCGAACTGGCTCTTCAGGTTGTTTTGTTGCTTTAATTAATTTATTATTAACAATAATATAAAATTATGCACAAAAGGAATTACTAATGTAAAAAAGTGGTTTTATTTATATATGTTTATATATAAATATTAGGGGTGCAACGATACACAAAATTCACGGTTCGGTTCGATACTTTCGATACACGGTTTGATATTCTTTCAATACAAAAAAAAATGTTCATGCCTTTTTAATTTGTCATTTATTAAAATTATAAATATATATTTTAACTCAAAAGTACAGTTTTCAAATTTAATGTTGCTGAAACACCAAAGTAATAAAAAAATTAATCTATCTGATCGAGAAATCCCTCATCTTTGGAAAAGAGAGTTTATTACAGAGAAATGGCTCTTTCCAAAATAAAAGCTATACTATACTCTTCTTCTGGGCTATATTCTCAGCAGCATATTAAACATATCAGGTCCCCATAAGGAGAATCATGTGCTAACGGCTGTCTAAATGACTCGGGTAAAGTTTGTAGCATGCGTGCTTGTTGTTTTTGTCTGCTTCCACTCGTCTTTGCACTAGGATGATGTCGGAATAAATTTGCAGTCATATTCGTTGTGTTCCCACTAGTGTTGTCAGCGTTAATCTCGTTGAAATAACGTTAATGCCACAACACGGCAAATCTCGGTTAACGAGCTACCGCGGATCGCCCCGTGCGTGGGGCTGGACGGCCAACACGTTAACGAGCTAACTGCGCTAACGCACTAGTTCCCACCAATGTAATTGAGCATTGCGTGGCACATCCAACATACTGTTTTACTTTAGTCCATGACGCGCTTACCTTCAGGGTCATACGTCACATGAAAACCAAAATAGTTCTAAAGGCCAGATCTGAATGAGGGTGGGGGAGGTTCAATTTGCCATGTTGCAACGAGAGCTTAACTTCTGTCTCGCTAGCTTGCCCTGCGCTCAGTGAATCTGCCTTCGACTACTCCGCCTAGGCTGCACTGTCGAGTGCAGAGCCACTGAGCGCTCAACACAGACAGCATCGTCAGAAGGAAAGTTGATAAAATAAATAAAAAATGTTGTATTGTTCGATACATATGCGTACCGAACCAAAAGCACTGTATCGAACGGTTCAATATCGATACGAGTATTGTTGCACCCCTAATAAATATATGCGGTGGCCCCTAGAGACAAAACACGTACAAACTCCAAAAAGCATTTCTAGCATGAACTGAACTTCCAAAACAGCTACCTAGATCACTTAAATTACACAATTGAAAGCATGAAAGCATATGTGTATTGTTTGTGTATTTATACACAAGCATTCATATACAGTCAAATAATTAAAAAAAAAAAGTTCATTTACCTGTTACTACCACATCGTTGGTACTTGCCGGCTTGTGTAGCCACTAGGTAACACAAGCTCAACACTGTGCCTAGCATCCAGGAGCACTTCTGTTGTCTTTTGTACGTGTTTTGAGTTTTTATGTGCTTCTGAGTTTTTACGAGTTTTGGAGTTTGTACATGCTTCGGAGTTTATACGCGTTTTTACGTGTTTTGGAGTTTTTACGTGTTTTGGAGTTTGTACGTGCTTCAGGGTTTGTACGCGCTTCAGAGTTCATACGTGATTTAATTTTTCAGCTTTTTCCTTTTACAAATTTAAAGTGAAACAACACAAAACACTGCAAACCACAACACAATTAAATATAAATTATAATATGAAAACAAAAAGAAGACCTACGATGTTGGAGAGAGAAATAACATCATGGAAGAGACATAAAGTGAGTAAAAAACGTCCTAAATGCATTTCGAATTTATTTAGAACTACAAATTAAATTTCTTTTAGCAGTTATTGTTTTTTAATGTCACAATTCCAACCCTGCTCCTTTATCCAGACCTGGACCGGCAAAAGTGACCCGAAATTGGCGCTCTGGTGGAGTTACTTTGTGTGTGAGAGTGCGTGTTTATAAGTAGTTTTAAACCTTGTGATCCACAAAACAGCATAACAGTAAAAGAAGAATTGACTGCATTACAGTCAGTGCGGGAGTAGCGGCTTCGCTCATGCGCAATTCATTTGCCGTTTGGACGCACAGGTGTAAACGTCTCCTGTAGTGATGGGATTTCCTGCTCTTTTTAGAGAACCGGCTCTTTCGGCTCCGAACCGGCTCTTCAGGTTGTTTTGTTGCTTTAATTAATTTATTATTACGATAATATAAAATTATGCACAAAAGGAATTACTAATGTAAAAAAAAAAGGTTTTATTTATATATGTTTATATATAAATATATGCGGTGGCCCCTAGAGACAAAGCACGCGCAAACTCCAAAACACATTTCTAGCATGAACTGAACTTCCAAAACAGAGCTACCTAGATCACTTAAATTACACAATTGAAAGCATCAAAGCATATGTGTATTGTTTGTGTATTTATACACAAGCATTAATATATAGTCAAATAATTAAAAGTTCATTTACCTGTTACTACCACACACTAAATCCGGTCGTTGGTACTTGCTGGCTTGTGTAGCCACTAGGTAACAAAAGCTCAGTGTACGTAGAGTTTGTACGTGTTTTGGAGTTTGTACGTGTTTTGTCTGTAGGGGCCACCGTAAATTTGCTTTTACTTTTATTTATTCACTCCACATAAAATGTAATAAATAAATCATATAATACAAAAATCAACTATTCACATTTCAACTATTTAAATTTTCAGCTTTTTCCTTTTAAATAAATTTAAAGTGCAACAACACAAAACACTGCAAACCACAACACAATTAAATATAAATTATAATATGAAAACAAAAAGAACATGCATATTCTCTGTCATATGGACCTGCATGAATAAACTTTCTGAATCCTTTATCATCTGCAACTGAAAATAGTTGTGGATGATTTTCTAATGTGGCGTTGTTGTCCCTGGCTCTTTCTCTCTCTCTCCCTCCCGCTCTGTTCCTGTGCTACTGAGTGTAACTACCGCCCCTCCCCCCTCTTCCCACCGTAAAGCACAAGGCTCGCTTCTGCTGAGCGAAGTGGAAAACCTCACGGCTCGCGATAAGGAGCCGGCTCGCGTCGTTCACGTCAAAGATCCGGCTCTAAGAGCCATTTCGTTCACGACCGACCCATCACTAGCCTCCTGCCCTGATAGCAGCTGGGGGAGGGCTATCCTCCGCCTGTGAGCGCTTTAGCACGGGTGAGGTGCCCAAGGCAGCATCGCTGCTTGTTGAGAGTAAGAGCGATACACGTTTTCACGTCAAAAGGTGGTCATAAATAAGTCTCCAATAATACCAGAAAAAGTCGCCAGATTTGTCGCTAGTTGCTTTTTAGAAAAAAAAGTCGCTAAGGGGGTCTGAAAACTCTCTAAATATAGCGACAAAGTCGCCAAATTGGCAACACTGAGTGTAACTACCGCCCCTCCCCCCTCTTCCCAGCGTAAAGCACAGGGCTCGCATGCGGAGTGAAGCGGAAAAAAAGTGCAAGAGAGAGAGAGAGGGTGAGAGAAAGAGAAAAAAAACCCATGGCTCGTGATAAGGAGCCGGCTCGCGTCGTTCACGTCAAAGACCCGGCTCTAAGAGCCCTTTCGTTCGAGACCGACCCATCACTAGAAGGGAGTCACCAGGCTGAAGAAGGAG